AGGTATTTTCAAATCGGTCCAGCTCACTTAAATCTTAATATTTTTCCGAAATATTTTGGTGCACGTCTTAAAATATAATAGATTTTATAATTCCAATGGAAAGATAGCACCGACTTTTTTTTGTATGGGAAGTGATGCAGTCTAATGTACATACATATGTCAACAAGTGGCCGAAAATATCACAAAAATTCAACGCTTAAGGGCAAGCTTTCAACTCACACATAGACAAAGTGAAGTCCCTATAGGGTATACTGAATGCCGTAGCTTTTCGAACGAGAACATACTTATTTACATAGACCTCTACTGATATGGTTGCCGGGATACACGGGAATGTTGATGGCAATTGCAAAGCTGATAAACTGACAAGGAAAGGCACGACCACCCACAACCTTCCGGTATAGAACTCGGTATATATAGCAATAGCCACTTTTAAGCAAGTTGTTGGAACAACTTTTCGTCTTGCGAAACTTACGCTTACGGGCCACTTCCTAATGTGGAATCAGATCCTGTATTGACCTATGTGACATGTAGAACTGAATCGAAAAAGTTACCAAATTGAAAAATAAATTACCATATTACCAAGTTTAATAAATAAATAAAAAAATTACCAATTTTGGTTAAAAATTTCTAAAGCGGCAACGCTGGTCCTCGTTTGCTTGCCGCTCTACTCTTGCGCTGCCCTCGTTTGCTTACTCGCTTGCGGGCTGCTCAGCGCGTGCGCTCGTACTTAACGAGTGCTCGTTTGCAAACAGCCTCGTGAGTTGCGCAAGCTCAGAGGAAACTAATGAGCGAGCGAGGGGCTAAAATGAGGCAAATCCGAACCCTGGTTAAAATAAACTTCATTTCATAGTTCTGTTCAACGTAATTATGCAAAAGTGGAAAGGCCGCTTTATTCTGTAAAACCGCTCGTTGAAATGGTAGCAGTTTTCCGCTAAACCGAAATGGTAATAAGTTTGTGATAATCGTACTCATAGACAATAGCGTAGCGTTTTGTTCAGCCATTGCAAGCCCATACGCTTTGCTTAGTTCTCGGGTATTTTTTGCGGTGTTTTTACATTAAAAATATCGAACCAGTCGTTTATTAACTGAAACAGCTCGGAGCATTCCACGAAATGTTCTGCGTTGCTACACATGCCAAGGCTTGCACATCGTTTAAGCTCTGTGGCAGTAGTATGCGAAAACAATTTTGTAGCGAGCTTCACTTTTTGCCTTGCTGATAAGAAAAA